CTGTCTATCTCTTTGGTCATGCTTTTAGCTATCGGTTTCTTGACTCCTTTTCTCTAATTCCCCACTTTGGTCAAGCTCCATCGAACATTTTCTGCACTGTTGTCACTTTGAACAGATGTTGTTTTCGCAGTTACTATTGCTGCAGTTAATTCCCTACACTACTTGTGAAACATAATTACAATGTATAACTGGAACAGATTTATCATCTATTGTGCATGCTCCCATCCCACAATTCAGAAAGGCTGTAAATGACAGAGCAAATTATGTGGGCTGAATGGCTTTTGTTGTTCCTTCATAAACCCCAAAGACCTGCATAAAATATTGCAATGTCACAAAGTCTCTATACAGTATGGAATAAAAAGTTCACAAAAAAATTCCACACTGAATGGAGAGGCGGAAGGACTCCAGGCGTAGCTCTGTGCAATTAGAAACCTAATGCTGCTCAGGAATCAATTTTCAGCGTAAGCAGCATGTGCCCAGGCAACAGGAGACATCACTTTGGTTACTCAATTCAGGCCTCCTAAACTGTGCAACAAAACACTGTATTTCGGGTCTGATATGAATAGGCCCCCACCTCAAGGTGAAGCTAATAAAAGTTGCTCAAATGAATTTTATATCATTCTGTGAAATATAAATAACCTAACTTGAGAGCTTTTGCAAGGAATTGGAGTTGAGCAAAATGGATTAAAATCAGATGTTAGTTCGACAACAATAGCCATGTGTTTTTACATTGCATCCATTTTTCCATCTTTGCTCCACATCCATGAAACTCCTCAATGGTGCATGCTCAATTCTATTATGACCCCTTGTTCTTATTCTGTCACCAGAGAAAATAGATTTTTCTTGTAAATCTCCTTTGATCCTTTTAACATTTTAAAATCTCAGATAGAGAAACAGTGCAGCACTATAATATGGACTGGACCATGTATCAATGACTATACTGCACAGTTCACCTGTAAACTCAACCCCTTTTGGGGCAGTGACTTAAGGCACAGGATCACAGGCTGCAGAAGCGGTCTGCTCCCTTGCTCAAATGGTAATTCTTCGTGAGTGAGCTCCAATCATGTTCACTGATCATTTATTAGCCCATGTAGGAAATTCCAAGAAAATGCAGTCATTCCTCATTGACACATTTTCCAAAAAGGCCAAGAGCAGGACCCAGGGATGAGTTTTGGCTTATCTAACCCAGTTATTGTTGTCATAAAATAGAAGTCATCTAACCCAGTGATGTTAAGGACAAAGGCCCTGGAGACTCTGCCATTGCAATCGTTGACAATAGCAAATGCAGAAAACTATTCCATACTTTTCAATACAAGATATAATTCAGTTCCAATAAAATATTAAATTGAAAGCCAAAGAATTAGTGTGGTTTATGAAACAAACTTATTCATACGTTTCATAGAAAAAGTAGATTGTCATCCAAAATATTATGAACAGTTTTGGTTCCCTAACCTAAGATATATTGATATTGGTGTCAGTCCAGAGAAGGATCAATAGCCTGATTCCTGTTATGGAGGGACTGTCTTATGCTGAGAAGTCAAGTAAATTGGATTTACATTTATTGGAATTTGGAAGAATGGGAGGTGATCTTTATTATCGAACATACAAGATTCTTATGGGACTTGATAGGGTAGATGTGGTCAGGTTGCTTCCCCTTGTGGTAGAGTCTAGAACCAGAAGACATAACCTCAGAGTAAGGAGCTACCCATTTAAAGTAGAGGTGAGGAGGAACTCCCTCTCTCAGAGGACAGTGAATCTATGGAGTTTTTCATCACAGACAGCTGTCAAGGCTGGGTCGATGTTCAAGGTACAGACAGCGTTTTAATTGGGGAATCAAGGCTATAGGGAAAAGGCAGGAAAGTGTAGAGGAGGATGATCAGATCAGCCACCGTCTTGTTGAATGACAGAGCAGACTCGATGGGCTGAATGGCCTGTTTTTGTTCCTATGCCTCATGGTCACATGGCTGCCTGCTCATTTTTTTTTACAAACATCAAACGCTACTTCGTTGCCCTGAAACAAAAGAAATCCTGACAGCTTCCTTTAATTTCTTGGTCTAACATCTTTACTGAAGCCAATCCTGGATACTGTTTGGTTTTTCTTATTGTTATGTGATGAGTTTTCAGCTGTGACTGCCATGAATAAAGCAAACACATCAGGACAACAAGGTGACAAGAGACAAAAAGCACAGGAAGGAACTTGGCAAGTTCACGGCTGCAAAGGTTTGTCAAAATATGTAATGCAGTCCACTCTCCAGAAAACAATGTTAAGCACTTACCAAATTTATTTAAAATATGCGGAGCTAAAGCAAAAGCAAAGTTTGGCAGAAACCTCATTTCAACATAGCAACAGGTCTGTAAAGAAAATCAAACTGAAATGCAACCCCTACAGTGGTGACAGCTTGCCAACCTGAGCATAGGGGTCATTTGTCATGGTCTCTCTCAGCTTCCCAATGACAGTTCCTGCCAGTAAGTGCACGGTTACCAGTCACAATGTACATCGTAGGACCAGATGAACCAAATAAAGATTTGGTACTAGACTGACAAGACAAAATCTCCCATTTCAAGTTACAGCTAAGTAGTAATTCTACTCTAAGTATAAAGTACTTACATACACAAGGTAAATGCTGGTTTGATTTTGGCCTCAAATCCACTTTCCTGTCTACCTTCTCTACTAGTTTGCTTTCTTCCTCGATTAAGAATACAAAACCTCAGCATGAAAATATACAATGACCCCGCCTCCCTCATTCTCAGGGGAATAGAATTCCACAGGTTAATGTCCCTCCAAGAGAGAGAAATAAAAAAGTCTACTCTCCAGTTTAATTGGGAAGCTTCTTATTTTTACATTGTCTCTCCTAGCTCTTATCTCACATTAAGGGAAACATCCTTTCAGCAACCACTTGTCAAATCCCCTTAGGATCTTATTTGATTCAATAAGATCAGTTCTCATTCTTCCAGTTGTCATAGGCCCAACTTGGTCAACCTTTCTTTGTAAGGTATCACACCTTCAACTCAGGAATCAATCAACTAAACTTTTTCTGCTCTGCTTTTATTGAAATTACATCCTTTTGTAAATAAGGAGACCATAAACTATACACAGTATTTAAGAAATGGTATCACCAATGCTCTGTCACCTGTCACACAACATCCCAGCTTTTATATTCCCCTCGCAATAAACAATATTCCATTTGCCTTCCTAATCACTTGTTGTACCTGCAGGCTAAGATTTTTAAACTCGTTCTAGGACATCCAAATCCCCCTCTACCTTACAGTTCTACAGTCTCTGTCTCCATTTAAGTACTGCTTTTCTATTCTTCCTGCCAAAGTGGACAAGTTCACGATTTCCCACATTATACTCTATCCACCAAATTTTTGCTCAATCATTTAACCTACCTATATTCCTTTGGAGATTCACCATATCCTGCTTGCAACTGGCAAGTCAGCAATCATAAACTGGGTCTATTCATCCAAGTCATTGATACGGATTTTAAATTATTGAGGTCTCATTACTGGATCCTGTGGTACTCCAATCATGGCATAGTATCAAACAGAAAATTATACATTTATGCCAACTGCGTTTCCTGGTAACTAAGCAATCCTCTATCCAGGCTTATGTGCTACCCCCTACATCATGAGGTCTGATTTTGCGTAGCCATCTTTGTATAGACATTTTGACAAATGCCTTCTTGAAATCCAAAAATGCCACATTTCTGGGGTCCCCTTTATCCACATTCTTTTTTCTTTGAGGAGCTAACAAGTAATCAGTCATAATAAATTAGTCAAACACAAATTTCACAAAACCATATTAACTTTACCTGATTGCATTACCTTTTTCTATGCTATAATCTCTTTCATACCTTCCAATATTTTACCCTGGCCTAGAGTTTCCTGCTTTCTGTCTCTATTAACAACATAACACAAATTAAACTCATATTAAACATATTAAAGAATACTCCAGTCATTTAAAATACACATTTACCTTTGCAGTGTACGAAATTAAGTAAAAATAAATTGGACTTGCTGCCTGTATATCCTACATGAGCCAAAAATTCAGTTAGTTTACCCTATTTGAAATAAGTTGACTTAAGCTCCTACTAGTTCTGCTGTAATAGATTAGCCTTTGAAATTAACAATATGCAACTGGAAAGCATAGGAGGATGGGGAAATTAGGGGAGCTGTTGTGAAAATCAGATGGAAATATCTGATACAAAATAGTTCCTTCAGAAATACAGAGAAAAGGTCACATTGTTCATAACATCTCTTTTTAAAAGTTTACTTGTAAGAAAGTTAGACATACATGCACAAATTAGCGAAACAGCGTAACTGACCAAATTCCATTTGAGAGTTCCAGCCACAACAGTAGAATTTTCTGTTCAGCCCAATTCGCAAACTCCTTTTTGTGTTCAGCTCAACTGGATTAACCCTAACAATGTTAACATTTACCCTGATGCAGTATATTAACCAATTACAGTATATGTACCTAATCTATAGGTCAGAAGTTTTAAATCTCTTTGATGGTGATTAACAGTTATTTTTATGATCCAGGCCAACAGTAAAATATCTGAGAATGGAGAGGGGGGGGGGGGGGGGGGCGGTGTCTGCCTGGTGGGAGAGAGATGAAAGATCCAAATAGAGAACATGTGGCAGTGGGACCTTTTTTCATGTCAATACTCGAGATGGGATAATAGCTGTAAGATACATCTTTTTACAAATTTTACAAGCAGCATTTTAGGATTTTCTAAATCTTCAAACTTGAAAACATTACTGAAAATTAACTGTGAATGTCTGGAAGTGGTTAAAGGAATGGAAGCAACTAACAATTACGTTTAGCCAGCAAGAAGTTGTAAAACATCCACCATTAAATGCTCCATTCCATTACTGCGTGTAAAACAGGGTTAAATCTGCTCTCCTGATATTTTGAACAAAAAAAAACCGACTTCACAGTACAGAGGTAAGTAGCAGATTCTCCTGTTGCCACAGAAATAAACTGGACCCCTACAAACCTAGAATGGTAGGTTTGGTGCCAAGGAGTGCTGATCGTGCCCTGAGATATTTGCATCATGCTTGAGTCTGGTTGGTTTTCCACTAATTTTGTAGAATGCCAGGAGTGAGGTCGGGCTGTCAGTTCAGTCTGCCTGTGAACAGAGAGAAAACAAAATGTAGCTTTATTAACACAGCAAGTAACAAGGAACGAGTCTGATCAATACAGCCTTTACTTGTAGGTTTATTCTGTCCAGTGAATAATTTCCGCATTCATTTTCTTTCTATATTAGTTGACATACAAAAAAAAAGCTTTCATTGTTTTGCAGAATACCTCCAAAATTGTAGGAAAACAATCACTGTGTTCAGTACAGAGACATATTTAAAACAGGCTTTAGGAAAATATAGGAAATTAAAGCGATTATAGAGTTCTGAAGTAAACATTCTTCAGATTGCCATCAAAATCTGTTTTACAATAAACCTCTTTACAATTACAAAATAGTGAGGAAGTGAAGTAAGAATCGGAGGCCCATCTCTGGTTATCTCTTTTTTTAAAAGCAAATTGTTCCCTCCCATTAAATTCTTGGTGGAATGAAGCATCCTATTCTATGTAATCTTCCATTTTTAGTCATGATGTATTCTCATGACAAGAGCAGGATGGAGCAGGGACAGTACCTAGAAAAACAACACCAGAGATGCAAAATACCTCATCTGAGCCTGCAACCAAAAGATGACAAACTGTCAGCTGTACTGCTACATTAAATATGTCGGACTCTCTTTGACAACTTTGGACCATCAAAATAGTCAACACTCTGAAGTTTGTGAGACTGCAATGGCCTGATCTATTAACAACAGTCACTAGAGAAGAAGTTCCATTAAATAAGAAACAAAGTTGTTATCTAATATCAAAGATGGAAATTAGTCTTCAATTCCCCAGTTGGCATGTTTTCAACCTTGGTTTTGGTACCATGCAGTGATACAAAGTAAAGGCCAATCAATTGTAGGAGATATTGCAGGTAATATCAACAGTTTCTGGAAGCTACATCATCAGCTGGTCTTTTTCGCCAATAATTGCCAACAATGTTGATTATGGCGAACGCTCCCACCGGTGATAGAAGTAATACCCAAAGGGGCTGAAAATGTACTCGGAATGGTCTCTTGCTTGATCAAGCACATTGAAGTGTGCTTTGGGACTTCAGACGGTAGCTAGTGGTTAATGAACTTGTTTCATAAACGCCACACCAACAGCTAGATTCATCTCCCTATAGAATTTACTTTTGCAAGAACATCGGTGCAGATCAAAGCAAGAAAGGATTATAAATAAATCATATCAAAGTAAAACAGCCATCATTTATAGCTTTCCCTTGAGAGCTTCTAATGAAAACGTAATTTAGAAATGACAGCTTTTTGATTCTTCTTTCAAATTTACTAAAAGTGAAAAACAAAATAATTGATCTTTAAAGGTTCAATGGCCAGGCAGAGCAAGGTATTCTGAAGCAATAATTTAAATTCATTGCCGCATATTTCAGACACATGATTGTGATAAATTGAAAATATTTTGATCTACTACAGGAATTAGCTTTTAGGTAAGATGAAAGCCAGGAGCACGATGTTAAAGACCACAGACTGCTTTATTGAAAAACTGGAATTTCTTTCCTCTGCTTCCCCCCCACCCAATATCCTTTGCATTTTCTTTTTAAAGTACTGATTTATTTACAGCCAATCTCCATTCGCGTCAGATGTAACTCTATCAAAGTGGCCACCTAAGGCATGGGGCAGAAACCAGACTGTATTGCTTTGGTTGCCTGTTATAAAGGTCAATGGAACAGCATACTGGTTGCTGGCATGATAATTGTGCCAAACTCCATTTCTAAACCAGATTGACAGATTACTTATTAGTCTTGGTCATTGTACTTACACTTAGTCGGCTGTCCATCCAATCTCAGCACAGGCACATCTTTCCAGCAAGGCTTACAGGACAACAATTAATAGTCAGAAGCTTGGCTGACTTCTTTTCTCCCAAGCCCAGAATTCTGGGTATGACCAACTAAAAGCAAAATCACTAAAAAGAAAAGCGCCCAAAGGAACTGAAGTCTTAAAACATAGGTCTGATTTCTAAAAAAGGTATTGCTGCTGTAATACACCTTGTGCTTTGGTGAAGTTGCAATCTACTAGTCTCACAGAGTAGATCAGTTCCAAGATTTGCAAACTGATTTTCAAAATAAAATTGATTCTATACATTTTGCACTAAAAGCGCTGGACCTCTAAGAATAAGACATGGTAAAGGCCTTTGGAAATAGATTTATGTCTCATGTTTTCTGAAGTTCTTTTTCCTCTGTGCACCACCCATATTAAATCCAATGTTGGCACACCAAAGAGATTACAGGGACCACGCACATTTTAAAGTTGTACTACTGAGTTGGTCACAGATTATCTGGGTGTTCCTCTATCATGTGTTTAAATTTGATGTGGGTTCTGAGCTTTTTGAAGCAGGTGCCACCATTCAAACAAGTCACTGAAACACCAGGTGGGACACAAATTATTGCAGCAGTTAAAAAAAAAACACCAGCTTTGGGGTAAATATGAAAACCTCTGCTTGTAACTCTTAAAATGCTTCCTCCGTGTATTTAAATAGGTTCTTTACATTTACATTTAGGTAATCACTTGACCCCTTGGCAAACTTAGTTTGATACCAAACTGGAATAGTTTGCGGCAGGCAAAGACAGCAGCTCCTTTCTACGATCTCTCTTAATTTCTTCTCCAAAGTTACAATCAGATTTGAGACCTACATGGTCAGTGTTGCAGTGCTGTGAAACTGAAATCACTTTCCAGAAATGCAAATATGACACTAATTGGCTACATGAAATTTCCTTTAAAGTGCTATACAAATGCAAGTAGACATTGATATTTTAAAATACCGCAATATGTCTCATATGTCTTTAGATTAAAAACGAAGCTTTACAAACTTTGCAGAGAATAAGATGTGCAGATTAACTGGATTGGCTATGAAAACTTGTCCATAATGTCCAGGGATGTGCAGGCTTTTATTTTTATTCCTTTTGTGGGATGCGGGTATTACTAGCTGGCCAGCATTTATTGCCTGTCCCTAGTTGCCCTTGAGAAGGTAGTGGCGAGCTGCCTTCTTGAACTGCTGCAGCCCACCTGCTGTGGGTTGACCCACCATGCCATTAGTGGGGGTGAATTCCAGGATTTCGACCCAGTGACAGCGAGGGAATGGCAATATATTTCCAAGTGAGGATGGTGAGTGGCTTGGAGGGGAACTTGAAGATGGTGGTGAATATGTTAGGTGGATTAACCATGGGAACTGCAAGGTTACAGGAATAGGGTAGGGGGTGGGTCTTGGTGGGATGCTCTTCGGAGGGTCAGTGTAGAGTCAATGAGATGAATAGCCTGCTTCTACACTATAGGGATTCTATGATTCAATTAATAAGTATCTTCAATGAATATGCAATCTTGGTGTCATTAAACCATGACTTCTCTATTTACATCCTCTTATATGTATAAAACACCTTTCCTGCAAAAAAAAGAAACACGGCCTTCATGAATGGATATAAGGCATATTGATACTGACTCAAGAAGTTTACGAGTTGATGGCTAAAAGCAGCATCAACAAAACTGGTTTTGAAGGTGGTGAAAGTGTTGAAGGAGTAGGAAGATTTAAGGAATGAAATCCACAGTTCCCTCCCACGGTTTTCGTCACTGGTCAAAATACACTGTGTTTTGTCTTTCACCCACACTAAATTAAAAATAGATGGAGTTTAATTTAGATAAATGCGAGTGTTGTATTTTGGTTAGGCAAACCAGGGCAGGACAGATACAGTTAATGGTAGGGCCCTGGGGAGTGTTGCCGAACAAAGAGACCTAGGGGTGCAGGTGCGTAGTCCCTTAACGTGGAGTTGCAAGCGGACAGGATAGTGAAGGAGGAGTTTGATAACTTTGCCTTCATTGGTCAGAACATTGAGTATAGGAGTTGAGATGTCACGTTGTGGCTGTACAAGACATTGGTGAATCCACTTTAGAATACTGCATACAGTTCTGGTCACCCTTCCATAGGATACTATTAAACCTGAAAGGGTCCAGAAAAGATTACAAGGATGTTGCCAGGGTTTTGTAGTATAGGGAGAGGATGAATAGGCTGGGGCCTTTTCACCCCCCAAGAGCATCGGAAGCTGAGCGGCTACCTTAGAGGTTTATGAAATCGTGAGGGACTTGGATGTGGTGAATAGCCAAGGTCTTTTTCCTAGAGCGGGGGAGGGCATAGATTTAAGCTGAGGGGAAGATTTAAAATGGACCTGAGGGGTAACTTTTTCGTGCAGAGGGTGGTGTGCAAATGGAATGAACTGCCCGATGAATAGTGGAAGCTGATACAATTACAATATTTAAAAGGAATAAAGACAGGATTCAGCAACAAAAAATTAAAATTCATTAACAAAATTTATTGCATCTTGGCATGGGTCCAGAGATCTACCAACAGTGAATGCTGGGTGAGTTGGCAAGGAGAAAGTAAGGGCTGGGCATGAATCGGTATAAGAGCTATAAAGGGTCATGGTGGGGGAAGGGTCATGAATTTGCATGGGTTGGGCTGGATAGGGCATGGGCAATCTGTGTTGGGCCAAAGGGAAAAGGTGAAGTGGTGTGCAATGTGCTTTTGTTTGTCATTTTCTTTGCAGTTGAGATGAAGTGCTGGAACACTGAAACAGTTTTTCCATACCACTAGCACCTGTGATACCTCATAACTCCTTCTAGGAATGTCAAATCCAATTCCTGCTCAAACCTACCTTCCCCCTGCTGATCTAGAATGAACAGCAGGGCAGTTTTTTTGGGGTTGGGTGTGTGCAGCCAGAAATTTTTCCAACTCTATTCCTGACAGGAAAGTGAAATCAGTCCACACTTTTCTTAGAAACTAGACAATTGCTGTAAGCAGGCTGACAGACCCCAAAGAATTGACTTGTAAATAAAAATAATGAGATGGGATTTACAAGTTAAGCTTGAGTTGTAGTCAACAATCTTTTACTTGTATTGGTGGAGAAATGATACTAGAAAGCCCAAAAAGGAAAAAAAAATCTAAATGTTGGAGCCAAAAAATTGGCCTTGCACACCCACAGATGTCTGGGATAGACTTCCTTGGAAAATG